GCCTGCAGTTTGGGAGGTCATAAAGGAACTGCCTGTACACACCAGGCAACTTTGTGGCTAAAAGTAATAGCTCTGCGCAAACATGATAAATCCAACAATTTGGACATTTCAGGTAAATCAGAGTGACTCAAATGGAGCAGCAGATGGAAAATGGGAATTGAAACGGAACAGCATGTGTGATTTGTTCAGAAGTTAGGCGTGCTGTTTCTGACTCAGGATGAATCTCCTGATTCATATTTTATCTTATCATCTCCTAACCCTATTTTATCTTAGGTTATTTTAAAAACCCAGAACAATTATTTGCTCTGTGATGGCTTCTTTTCTTACACAGCCCAGATCCAGAATCTTCCACATGTAGAAATACAGCACTTCTGTCTTAAAACCCTGTCTTTTCCTCAGTACCCACTTGACCTCTGGAATAATTCATGTACTGTTTTAATGACAATAGCTCAGAGCCAGAAAGAAATGTCTTCTCCAGTCAGCCTGCTAGCCTTTGTCTCCAGCTGTAATGAATACAGAAGGTGGCTCATGGGAAGATGCTGTTAAACTTCATCTCAAGCACCACCCAGCCTCCAGCTGCACGCTGCCCTATGCCATAGTCCTGCAGCATCCTGGAGCTAATAATGGGAACTGGCAGGGTTCATGCATTCTCCTGCTATCCAGGCCAGCTGCTCACACAGCCCTTTACAAGTGTGCTTATGGGATTACAAGTTGAAATTACCTCCTTGAAACTGCATGGGGTATTGCAGAGAAGGGATGGAGTTGGGAATCACCTCAACGTTCAAGTGCTTCAGACAGCTGTGTCGCATGGCCAGGCACCTTAGCTCCACATCAAGTTCTCACTTGTTTCTCATAGCTTCTCAGAGAGCAGATGCTGACGCTTGCTCCTGTGATCCTTGTAACGGTGTGGTGGGCCCTGGGTGGTCTTTGCATGAACTGCATGTCATGCCCATGGCACATTGTGCTTACTTTTTTTTCCATTCGGTGATTTTTACATGGAAACTTTTCCAGACAAGAACTTTGTTCTTCAACCGTCTCATCCATATACAGACCTCATTATAATCTTACCAGGTGAAGAACCAAGTGCCACTGGTGCCAACAGAGCTTTGAGACATCATTGGCATGGGCAAGGCTTGTCCCTTCTGCTGTCCGACCGACTGCATCCCAGCACAGCTTCAGACACCACACCCATAGCATGAAAAGGCCCCAGTAGTGATTTGTCATCACTGCAGCAGCTGCTCTCCATCTCTACTCCATCTGCCTAAAAAACATGCACACACAAGTGACAAGATTTTTCTATGAACTAAACTCCTGTCAACTGCCGCAGGAAACTCTAACAGGAAACTTGACTTTGGGTGTGCAGTTTCACAGCCCCATCTCCCAGTCTAAACTCTTCTAAAATGCACAAAGATTTGCCTGACCAGAGACACCATCTCCTTTGAACTGGAATGGACACAGACCAGGGCCTCTTGGGTCCCGTTGCCAGGTCAGCTGTGCCCTAGTGCGCTTGTTCTGCGAGGAAGAAAACAGGCACAAGGATCTTCTTTGGCATCAGGAGTCTCAGGAGAACAGCCTGGCTTCTTTGTTCTTTTGTGTCAAAAACAATTTTTTTGCCTTTCAGGTTGGGATAGAGGAAAGAAGGAAAGAAAACTGACCTGACAATGCTTTTTGGTTTTTAATGTTATTTTCTCCATTCCAGATATAAGGCATGTTGTCCCAAGTGTCCCTATCAAGTCATCTGTCTTGTGGGCAGGATTTGCTGAGTTATTTCTGAAGATAACATCAGAAAACATATGCTGCAGACAGACAGGAGACAGGGGCAAAGGAAGTATTGGAAGCGCAGTTTTAACAGAAACCTCTCACCAGCCCTGTTCATTAAGTTATGCCATAAGAAAAGCAGCTTTCAAACATTTCCCATTGACTTAAGCTAAGACATGTTATAAGGAAAACAAAACGATTGTATACACTGAATGAGACTGAGTGGAAAAGAGACAGACCTGGGAATGGTGTTACAGTAATTTTGCATTTAACTCTGCTCATTTCTTACAAATCCTGTGTCAGTTTACTACCTCATCTTACTTAAAACCTTGTTTGTTTTTAAAACAAGGTTTACAATTCCTCAGCAAAACCACACAATTGTGGTCAAGTTCACCTTCACCAAGACACTGGTGATGTGTCTTCCACCATCAGTTTGGTTTTCTTTCCTGGGTGTGGTCTACCTGTTAAACCACTACTGTCACTCAGCTAGAGTGTGCCTGCAGCAGCTCTTCTCCAGAAGCTTCTCAGAAATGCACATCCGTGTTCTGGTGACAGAGACGCCTGATATGGCAGTGGGAGTTACCTTGAACACGAGCTAGACTAACACACTCCTGAAATGAGCTGGTCAACAGCTTTCTATCCTGGAAAGTCTGTTGCCTAGCCTTCCTGCAAAAACTCCCGAACAGAACCAGCAAGTGCAGCTTGTCACACAACGCCTCAGAGCCAAAACTTAATCCACATGAGTATCCAGAGAGCACTGGTAAGCTCCAGAAGACTGACTTGCACAAACCTCAGCCTGCCCAAGGTTTTGCCATGGAACAGGTCCTATTCATAAGGATGGTGGTTCCACAGGGTTATGAGCTGATCTACATGCAGAGTGCTGCACTCTCAACTCTCACCTCCTGTCCTTTCAATGTGGACTCACCCGTCCCTCGCAGCAGCAACAGCTGTGTAATAACACAAGGAGCCAGTTCAAAAGGCTGATCTAGCTGAGCGGTAACTGCTTCCTTTGCAAGAGTAGTTTGTGGCTGGCTCAGGTGCCCAATCTGGTTCGCTGCAGAGTCCCACGGGTGCAATGCTGACCCAAGAAAAGGGATGGGGATGGGAGGAGGAGCGAGGCTGCAACTCAGTAGCCCCAACAGAGATTGGTTTACACTCACAAGGATCTCCATCCATGGTCCAACTCTGAACAGCAGATGCTGTGCCAGCAGGTACCCCTGGTGACCACTGTGAATCTAAACAGACTCCAAATATGCACACCGTTTTCAGAAATAAAACATTTCTTTTAATTGGCAAGTAGAACACACATTACAGATCATTAGTATTTTATAAACAATATTAAGTTACAAATACGTGTTAAAAATTGCAGTTCATGGCAGCTAAAAGCTTGGAATCCAAAATGCATCTCTGCAATGCTTCATTACTTCTCTTTCCCCAGTCTGCTGGGTGAAGATGAATAAGAGATCATTTATCATCTACAAGGAGGTGGTCTACTATATACTCAAACAAAAAGAAAACCTCATTCCTAAAAGCATCACTACCAGAGGCATTCAAAGTACTTCAGCCATCTTAAATCATGTCAGATGCAATAAGGACACAGTTAAGAGTTACTCTGTAACACTTTAAGCAAAGATACAGATACCTTCACATTAAACTGACAGTTCAATCCTTTCTGTTCCAATTCAGCTTAAAACCAACACTAGCTTCTACCCCACAGAAGTTTAAAGTCCATCATGCAGGCTTCTGTGCCAACAAAGCTAGATGTTTGTAAATCAGACCCTTATACAGAGGAAAGTTACGGTGTACAACTAAACAGCATACATAAATATATATCTTATATTTAGCAGATCTTTATTCCCCTCCTTAATGACTTTTGTTGGTATTAGTGAGATACGCAGCTCATTCCATTTTCACTACACTCAGAATATTAACAAGTTACCATTATGCATGTTAATATACTAAATATTCTTTAACAAGTTTCTTAAAAAAGTATTTAAAAACATTTTTGGAAAAGTAGAAATCTATTTTCCAGAAAAGCAAGTGGTACTAGGACAGCATGGACTCCAGTGCTTAAACATCCTTTCGGAGAAACCCATCTTGACGGGTGTTGTGCCTGGGAATCGGCTGTGTGTCAGCTGCCAGACTTGTATCCTATTCATCCTTCTGGCTGTGGTGGTAAAAGGTCATCAAAAGCAGCTTACCTTGCCTTTCAGTTGTCAGACTTTTGAAGATTATCATTCACTGGACTCCATAAGAGACATGTAGCTTTGACAGAAGTTCATTTATTTCTTACTCGTATTTATGAGAGTCAGTTTTATTATACCGCTGAGATTGCACCTTCAAAACCAGTCTGCTGAATGTGTCTGGAGAAATGACTTTGTATCTCAAAAATATCAAGAGTACCATTCAGATCTGAATTTCTATTAAAAACTGTGCACATTTAGCAAAAATTATGCTGCTGTAAAAACAAAAGGCCTGCTCCTTGGCCTGCTCAGAATAAAGCTACAATGCAAGAGATTACACCACTGGGTTTTTTTCTCTGCTTCTTTTCTAAATGCAGGCATTAGAAGTAAACTGTTACTAAGCTTTTCCTAAGAGAGCACGCAGGGGTGTAATATACATAATATACATTAATCAGGAACAAAAAACAGTAACAAAGAACCATTCTAGAAAATGCTGCATATTAGCAGCATGCTTGGTTTCCAAAAAGTAAGGAATTGCATTGGAGTTGTCAAGATGAAGTCCACACACCTCGATCATTGAACTGATCACTAGATTCCAAGAAACCAAAGCAAATTTAAAAATACACATGACAACAACTGCCTAGAAGGCAGAGTTTTATCATCTGTCAATAACCAGATGAATAAAGTGCATAGCAACTATTTTAACAGTTTCTTGAAAAGAGAATGCATTTAGCAAGTCTCAAAGTTTGTAAGCTTGACACTTATCCATACATTTTGCTACATGTGTGGCTTCCCTTTTGTTTTGCTGTTTAGCTTCGCTGATCGACCCTTCAGCACTGTCCTCTCATTTCCTTTGCAGTTCATATGGAATGTGCCGAGATCTCTGACTGCTGCCTGATGTAGGTCTGGAAGCTTTTGTCACCAATGGGATGTTCTCTAAAAGAAAAGAAAAAAAAAGGAAAAAAGCACTATACATAGAACTTTCTGTCAGGAAGACAAGATGTCAGAACAGAAAGTGAACGGACAAAACCTTTTCCCTAAGTTTGATATTCAAAGTTGGAATTGTAATGATAATACTGCATCTTACTTGAACCGGAAGAGCTGGCTGATTGAATTGATTCTCTTTTTTGTCAGCCACGTGCAGAATGCTCCTTTATTTACACGTACACAAGATACGGTCATGTGGCTGTATCAGCCATTCTTCCCATTTTTAAACCAACAGTCTAAAAGAAGCTAGTAAATACATGTATCTTCTGGTACTTACTGCTCATTTCACAAACACAGGTTCAAAATTAAAAAAACAAAAACCAAAACCCCACAGTTGTTTTTATGAATAAAACTGTATTAGACAATAAGCATTTTAAAATTCCTTACAGTCCTTTAAAACATTGTAATATCAATCCTAAATCACAATCTTACTTTGTATATATTTGCAGGACATTCTTTGAACATGAATATAGTAAAGGCCAGAACATAAGCATGGGAAATAACATTTCCGAGGACTGTTCCCCTGTTTGGACAACCCATTATACTTACTGGCTTCCATATTTCGTCTTCTTGAATTTATCCCTCTTATATTGAGCATGCTCCTGCTCTAAAGTTCCAACACCTTCAATAATCAGCTTTAGCGTTTTATATGTCTCCTTAGGGTCATCAATGATGAATGTAGAATATTCTTCCTCTTCAGGTCCATCATACACAGATTTGCTACCACAGGCCTCTGGGGAAAAAAAAAAAAAGTACAGGAATAGGTATCAGGTAGGCAGGGAGAAAAAAGCAAGACATGCAGACTAAAAATACTCAGTCCCAGGTTCATACAGTTCCTTGGTTTGCTTCTGTATGACCACCACAGAACTGTGGCTGACATCAACAGCAACAGCAGACGGAGCATTGCCTGTCCTTGTGCTGCGCTGTTGGTAGGCACAGAGGCTGGCCCATGCCCGTTCCCTCCTCCTTGTCTCGTAAGCAAAGGGCAGCAAGCCTGGCAGCTGCTCCTGGCTTGGTGCGAAGCTGTCCTTTACTGCACAGGCAACGCTTTCATCTCAATTACCACTAGCAGTACCCCATGCACACACTTTGGGAACTCTGACACAGGCCTAACTCTGCCACTGTGCTGCCGGGCTGGCTGGCATAAGTCAAGTATTCACTTGTCAGAAGGATAGGTTCCATCCCTAAGCAGCAGCTAAGCAGCAAGTACAGCACTGCACAACAGACTGAATTCAAAACAATTACAGGCTGAAGTAGTCACAGAAGATGTTTTACCACATCACCCCTAAAAGGTTCATAAAACAAGCACAAGCAGAATACGTCATGACTTCTGGCTGGCTGCCTGCTAAAGGACATATGCTAAGAAGGGGCAAGTCATACCACCTTCTCATCCTACCAAGGAGCCTTCCTGGCTAAGAGATCAGGACACTGATTACACATGAATATTTGCAACACATTCATCATGGGATCTACTTCTGCATTGTGGCAGAACGCATTAGAAGGGGAGGAAGAGTATTTTACTTTGCCTCTATTTTTCCCTAGCTTTCTAGCTTTACTGCTGTCTCTGTCCCAGCTTTCGAGTTACCTTCCCCTTGCCGCACTGTCTGTGCCAGACCTGCGTCCTTTTCCCCGACACTGAAACTCGATGCTGGCTCTGGCAGTGAAGATTCGGAACGGGAGAAAGCTGGGCATTGGTTCAGACAGCTCGGAAGTGGTGAGGATCTTAAGTTTGCAATTGCATGGCGGCCAGGAATGGATTAAAGTGCTTTCCAATCTGTGTGTTTGACACCACTGGCTTATCTCATATTATAAAATAAAGTCCTATTTAAAGATCAGTGCCACAGTGAAGGCTTCCCTGCCACTCCCTGTGCTAAATTGGGATTTCAAGTCTGGCACCGTGTACACCGGATACTTTTCTTGGCATGCCTACCAGTACTAACTTCCTCTGCTGTCTCTTCTTTCTTTTATCCTTCATGTCACATCTTTGCTCCCCTCAGCTCCTGAGGGTTTCCTATCCCAAACTTCAATTTTCAACATTTCATAGACATCAACAGGTCATCTTTCACTGATAATTCTGAAAGAGCCTTCCTGAGGAAACCATTTGTATCCAGCCTGTTCTTGGGATCTGAATCAGAGAATGTGCACATGACTTCTGGTAACACAAAACCATGTTCCACTGAAACCTCAACTTTGCTGCTGCTTCGTTTCAGGATCAGTAAACTTCTGGTCTAGTGCACACTGATTTGTCAATTCAGAGCATCCAAGCAATGCTCTGTGCTTATGCTATTTTAGGATGCTGTGGTTAAGAATGTATTTCAAACAACTGTTTATTATGCAAAGAACTTTGTACAGACTGTGAGACTGCACACTGTACCAAAAATAATTCACACAACTGCCTCAAGACAGCAGAAGGGGAAACAAGTTAAAGAATGCCCGCTGTGTTCTAGGATGTGATTTGCAAGGCTGGTGTAGCTAGAACATACAATTCTTCACAGGTATTTTTGCCTTGCTATGTGCATTGGAGATGCAATCATCTTTCATCCTCACCTTGCATTTTCTCCAATTTTGGCATATACAAGTTGAAAAGAGAGTAGATGCGCTCAGTTTCTCTATCTCCATCTATATCCAGTTGTATATTTGCTGGAAGGCCTCTGTAAGGCATCAGGAAGAGAGGTAGAAGTTATATGCTAAACAGTATGTTATGGAACAAAAAGCACTTAACAAGGATGAAAGTACAAAGTACTCATGAAAGCCAACAGATTGTATTGAAAGGAGCTCAAAACTTCCTATTTTTCCCAAAAGAAAAGGTAGAAAAGTTCAAACTTCTTTATGCCTACATTTATCCAGCATGCTTTCAGTCTGACTTGGAAGAGAGGACTGTATCAGTATCCAGACATTTTGGTGAATTAGTCTGCTATAACCAGATGGAGGAGCCAAAGCACTGAACTCCGAACTGTCCAGGCTGCGTATTCTGAGACTAACTACCACTACAGACTTGTTGCTTCTCTCATTTTAGATGAAAACAGTTTCCTATGAACCAGACAGTACACCTCTTCATTTAATAGGGAGCATGAGTGGGTCCCTTAGAAAAAGATTGGTTTAGAATTAAATCTAGAAGCAGATGACTGACTGTTTCAGGAATTTACAAACAGGACATTGAAGGGATTTCTGACATTTTTACTAATGACATATGATCAGAACCAAAGCATCTTATCCCACAGCCAACTCCTATTAATGTCTTGAACTCTAAAAATTGCAACATTTTGACCAAGATACTGACAGCATCAGAAATGACAATAAAGATGGCCTTTGAAAATACCATGATGCCTGCACACCTGGCAGATCTTCTTGGTAACTGCATACATGCAAGTCGTGCTGCAGACGCACATATTCCTGGCAATACCTAGACCAACAGCAGGTTACCAATCCTTACCCTGTGCAGGGTGTGCAGCCAGGAGTATTATCTGCAGTAGCTTTACAGCAAAGCCAGTGGCCATTAAGATAGGCAGAGGGATGGTAGACTGTGAGGCGCTTCTTGTTGCATTGGCTAACTTTGGTGAGGATATCAATCCAGTCCTTTGCCTCCACACAATTATTTGCCTGGATATACAGGACTCTTCTTTCAGGCTGGATCACCTGGAACATCTGCAAATAAGGAAATAAGCCACAGAATAAACCACCAGAATAAGTTGGTGAACGTAAGACCGGGCTCAGACTGATGATTTCTTAAAGGAAAAACACAGCATACCAAAAGAATGCACCAATAAATATGTTTCAACACAAAATCAAGCAGCATATGTGCCCTTAGAACAACAAGACCTTTCACCTGGTACAAGGAGTAAGATACTGTTCCTGTAGGAGATTATTTACAAACAACTTAATATCAACTTGCTGGTTAGGCCTCAACAAGATTGTTGTCAGCCTCAGGGATGCAATTTTAGTAATGCTTCAGCTCCGAGTTTTGGAAGGCTGACAAGAGGGACCCAACGCAGGGCTGAAAGGAAATGCTGGTCAGCAGGGGGCAGAAAAGACAAAAATGCGAGTTTGGATCCAGCCTTAGCCACATCTTTGCTTTAATACTGCCGTATCTCTAGTCTTTTTAACACCTATTTCAGCATGATTCTTTCCTTTTAGTAACTGCCACAGTTCTGCACCCAACTATACCTGCTATTAGCAAATCACAGCAATACAGTTTCTTTTTAATCACCATAGGGTAGTTCAAATAATTACACTAATTCTGCATGATGGCTTGGGCACTGAAAATCTAAACTACAGCTCTCCTGTTTAAAACAGCTTGCAACTTAAAATGGCACAACTGCATTTATTTTCTTCGTCTTGAAGAAGCAAGTGTCTGATGCACAGCCTTATTGCTTGACTATTCTGATCATGCACTGAAGATAACTAAGCTCAAGTTAGTGATCTTAAACTGCAAATTTTGAAAAGGCAAATGTCAACCATCTTCCTTTCCTCTAGCTTCTGCAAATACTTAATTTTAATGCGTTTTCCTCTCTCTCACCGGTATTCCTAAATTACCCTTCCCTCTTCTACTTCTTCATTTGATTATTCAAATCATTAGACATTACACTGCCCGTATCATGTGGACTATTATTTTCCAAACAGCTGGTTTCTCTGTGCTACTTTAGAAAGAAAAACAGAGGCACCCCCCGGCCCAAAACCAAACCAAAAACCCTCACACCAAAAAACGAAAAATCCCACCAAAACTGAAATTCACTTTTGTCTATTACAAAGACCTGAAACATTTGCCTGAATTCTGCACTTAGCTGGTCAGAAGAACATTGCAGACTGGCACCAGGCGCAATCTCTTCTTCCCTTGTGACACTTTTAGGTGCACATCCTTCAAAGTAGCTTCCAAATATACTTTCTAATTTGTGACCCAATAGTTTTTTAAATTACAATGTCTCTTCTAAGAGGAAAGGTAAAGCCATTTCCCTAAATTTAATATCCTCATAGATGTCAGACAATAGTTAGAAAGGCACAACACACAACAGCAGTGAAGGAGCTGCCAGTATGATCAGTCCAGCACTGCCAAAATACACACCAGAGAGACAGTCCTTTTAATAAAACTCTTCAGGACATAACTGGCAATTTGAGTTTGAGGAACAGGGAAGGAAGGAACAAGGAAGACAGGAGCATGCAGCTCAACCCTCAGTTAACACAGAACTACAGCGAAAAGAATTTTAATGTCCTGCTGGGGTAAATGGAGCCTTCTGCATTACAACAAAGGAACAGATTTAGGGAGTATGGCTTTGTGTAAGGGGATACCAACCCAAGTGAACTAACATATGGCAACTGTTACTGAGAAGCCCGCAACTAAGCCAAGAATTTCAAATGGTTGCAAGACCTTTACACTACCAAAACGACCATTTGCTTCTCAAACAACACAGAAGACCTGAACAGTACTTAAAACCACCCCCAAACCTCCCAAACTGTGCTCAAGGAAGATGAAGGCTACTGGCCTTACTGCCAGACGTGCAGATTTATCAGGATTGAGGAAGATACACTTGGTGCAATTCAGAGCACAGTTACATAGAGAATATTTATAGAAATTGTGGATCTTTAATCACATTTAGGACCCATGATGGAATATGCATCGCAAATACATCTGCTGTGGCGTTTTGAGAATTCTGTTCTTGCTGCAGTATTCTATTTATGTATGTCAAGATAAATGGGAATATATTAGCATGTGAAGGTGATAATGGTATTTTCTACTGCTTATGGAAAGACTCTGAACCTTACTTTCCAGAATGAATGTAGTCACCTTCATCTCCTAGGTAATACTGAATTTAAGCAACCAAAATAGCCCAGTTTCTGATGTTACCAATAAAGGGATATTTTTCCTAGAATAAATCTTTACAATAAAGGGATTTTTTGGATGCATACTAGCCCGGTAGACTCAGCATAAGTTAAAGACTGCTGCCACTAAACAGTTGATCAGAATTATAGCTCAGCTCCTCTCCACACACAGTGAGTTTTATCTCAACTGTGTGGCTACTTCCTAGTTCAATCAAGTTATTTTGCAGAGTACAGTTGGCAACAGTTCAACACATTACAGCTGCCTTCTGATACCTTGAGAATTATTTTGCAGCTTGGTTGCTTTTGCCTATGTAATCAACATGAGTTATAAACACCAGAGCCAGCTACAGTACAATAAAGATGTGCTCTAGAAGCAAGTGAACTGAAACTTATTCCATCTTTTAACAGAGAGATATGCTACCAAAATAATACCTGAAACAGGAAAAATACTGAGGAGTCAAGCATTGTATCTCACTTTAACAAAATGCTGTTTGAGGAACCTAGTATCTAGGGCAGCTCTAGTTCGAGCACTGCCCTGCATAGTGTCCACAAGCAGTGTAGGTGGCATGAAAGACTTAGAGGCAGAAAAGCTAAAATTCACAACCATTTATGTGTATAGAGAAGTTTGTTGTAGATGCATGTTTAGCACTGGAAAACACTGAGCTTTTTTGTTTGTTTGTTTTTTTAAAATAACTTTTTAAGGACCTTACTCAGCTTTACAGGCAGAAGAGTATGAAAAAGGCTCCCGACATCACCTAAACTGACCATGTCTAAGAACTGTTCTTACACAAGGGATGGTACGTCTTGCATACAGAAGTTGGCAGTAGTGTTCCATGCATGAGAAATACAGTTGTATTTTATTCCCTAATGTGGTAATTAAAACACTAAACCATACTGGCACAGCACAGATGTTGTTTTGGCACATGACCTAACGCAAATACATATGCACTTTCATTAACCCATAAAGAAACACTGATAGCTAAGAAACAAGATGTGATCCTTCACAATTATAAGCAGCCAGTTCCTTCCCAACAGAGAAGTCTGACAGAAAGGGCAGGGCCTTGATTATCTTACCTGTGTCTGACATTATAGACCCCAGACAGCTGATCAACAGTGGTCAGTACTGAGTGTACTGCAGATCACGAAACCCAAAGACTGCTGACTGGGCTGTTAAGAATCTGAATGGGCTGTACTTTTGGAAACTCCTGCTACTATATACAGAACAAGCAGCTGTGGTTGTACATCTTTCAATAGAAACCCAATCCAGGTTACAAAAGGGAAAAAGGCCATTAGGCTGGTGGATCTAGACCAGCCTAACAAGCAAATTAACGAATGACCTACTTACATTTTTCATTTTAAAGGATTCCTCCTCCAGTCTTTCCACTGCCAGAATGTTTTCAATTGGAATGCTACACAGAGGGTGATCACCTGCAGAACACACGCAAACAGATACTGAGCAACTTATTCACAACTCAACTTCATCCTCTGCCCTTATTCTAAGAGCCGATTCAGTTCCTTTGAAGATAATTTTGACTGCACAAGAAAAAAAAAAGTCTTTCACTCAGCAGGGATTTACTAGCATGGTCCTCAAGTATTATCTTAAGTTCATTTCTGTTTTCAGCTGCACTAGGTTATGCTAGCAAGCCTCTTAGAAACGAACTACTGCAGCAGGACACAGTATACTTCCTGAGAAGGTGACAATGAAAGACATCATTCCTGTCAGCTCAGCTGAACTAGGTTGATGGTGGTGGTGCAAGATCTCAAAGTGGAGTGTGAAATGATGACTGGCATGATTTGAACATGTTTTTTTATCTTTCTTACTCGCTATGTATTTATATGATGGAAGGAAGTGGTATGTGTTGTGTACTACTGAACAGACAGGAACAATTTGCGAAAACCAAAATCCTTGATATTAGGCAACATCAAGTGAACACATTTTTGCAAGTTCAAAGCTTGCAGGCAAACCCCTGCCTACTGCAGCCAGTTGTGCCAATGTTAGAGAACTTATGAGAACAAGCTGAGATGCATCTGCGAATGTTCCATACAAACCCAAATCCCAGTGTAAGGTATTTGTATCCTGAATTTTGTTTGCTTGAACAATCTACTACATAACTGTGAAACCTATGGACGATGTTGATAACTGGTATTAGACAAATATTATCAAATATTCTGCTAATTTATAGTGTACTGTGCTATCCAAGAAGCTTCTCTAACAGTCAGTACAGACATACTAAGAAAAGGGCAAGAACATACAGGCCGACAGACTTGCCTGCACTGTGCCTTCTTTAATCTTCATTTTAATGTATCAAAAAAAGACGGGCAAACCTTTGTTACCTTTGCTTTTCTGATAGGTAAATTCATGGTTTGTCAGGCGAAACCATCTCTTCTTGAAGTTTTTCATACCAAATCGTTTTCTTCCTTGTGCTCTCTTGATCATGAACCTAGTAAACAGAACAACAGTTGTTACAATACAACTGATTTTATATATACATACATATATATATTTTGCATACATATAAAATATGTATTTATGTATATAGATTTATACATATATACATATATATATACACACATATCATGATGGCACTTGCGAAGCTTTAGGAGAGGACACACAGTGTTTTCTAATTATTGAGGCCTCGTCTTGACAAGGAAAGGAACGTCACATTTGGATAGGTTTAGTGCATCTCTTAGTTAAGCCTATCCTTCTTCCAGATGTAAAAAAAGGGCAGGACATGTGGCTTGACTCGTAGTCTAGGGGTTCTAGTTAGTCAGCTGAATTCAGCTTGTGCCCTTTCCTCAGTTACAAATCCAGCTAAATGTTTTCCTACTACCGCAGAAAAAGAGCAGAACACAGTTAGTACTGCTCTGCTAAGCTTGACCTGTTAATTCTACAAGCTTTTTTCATGTTTTATTTTTTAAAGCTGTGAGAAAGCTCAAAAGGTTTAGAGTATGTTTAATAATTAAAAGGCAGGTGGGAAGTCTGGAGCACAGAGACTGAACCCCATGCTTTAGTCACTCCCGAGCTCTAGAAACAAAACCTGGATGTTCCACAGCTCCATTTGCAATTGCACATTGATGCTGCAGTTGGAAACGCTTTTTCAACAACATACAAAGCAATTGGATGGCTGAAAGCTAGAATCCCCCACTCTCATCTTTTTGGCAGAGGAGGGGCATTCATTTAGTGAGTTGTCAGTTTTAATTAATTTCAAACTTGAATTAGCTTACAAGAAACTCTGATGCATCCACCACCTTCCTAACCACTAAATCAATCCAAAAGCTTCAAGGTGACTTTGGCAGCCTAGTGACTTCATACTGCTCAGCATCACTTTTGGTGGAAAAAAGTGTGTATGCATATGCGCTAGAGAGTTGGTAACAGCTACTCTACACATTACATTAACTATTGTGCCAAATACAGAATTATATAATGGAACCAGTAAAAACTACTTACTACAGAGCAGTTTTTATCAAGTAGGAAGGCACTAAACAGCACAAAGAACACACACAGAGAGAACAGTGAATGATTTGGTTGAAGATTTTCAATAGCAGAGCTAAAATGCTTAGGACAGCTAACACTGTTTCTCACTTCTTGTATCTTCAGTCAGAAACAGCTACATTGCATCCAACTGAACTGCAGATCTGTTTAAAGCTCAAACAGAAACCCAAGTTCTCTCAGATTTTAACTGTTTTGTAACCATCTGTGCTGCTGCCTTCTGCCCATTCTAAGTTGTGTGGGCAAAAGTTGACAAGGACTGTATATGGCAACACATTTTTTTAAAACCAGTTATAGTTACACACTTCTCCCATTCTTAAAATGGTCAAACAGTTACTGTCTCGGTCCTTATTCTTGGATTACTTGAGAAATATTTAATAAACCATATGATTCAGGTCATCACCAGGCCCAGTGGCGGTAATCTTCGTATTTCAAGGTTAAGGCAAATTTCAAGGGAAGAGCAGATGTCCTTGGGCTGGACAATACGCTCTTCAAGTTAGTTTCTTTTTCTTCTTATGCCAATACTTAAAATGTGACTTAAAACTGCAAAATCCTACAGAGCCTCCCTCTTTGAAAAATGCAAACTCTATACTGCAGAGCTAAGAGCACATTTCTAATTAAACTCTTCATAGCTGACATAGCCAAGAGAAGAATGTGCTTTTATTTCCCAGAGATAGGTGACAAGCATTCAAAGCCATAGAAGTTATAAGGTCAATTTAAAGGATTTTTTTGTTTTTAACATTTGCAGAACGGGTGAGAAGTCGGAGCAAATAGTCAGAAGAACAAAGGGAAAAATGTCTAAGATGAAACCCATTTCAGTGCTGGGTGATTGGAGATACTGTTTCTTCTCATCTTTATGGTAGACCTGAGTTTGGATCTGCCTTAGCCTTGCTTGGAAGCATCAGCATTCTCCTTTCACCTACAAGAATGGCAAGACTAGTTCTCCTTTTAATTCTCCTCCTTTTAGAAAGAACAGGCAGAGAGCTGTTAAGCAGCGATGGCATGATCAATGCCAGCAAACCCAAGTGCCATAACTAATCTTTGGTACTGTTCGTTCATTCAAAAGTACATACTCTATAGCTTTCCGTCTAGATACTCTTAACAGAAGCAAAGATAGATTAAAAAACCAAAAGCAAACAAAAACATTGCAAAGGCAAATAGAAACCCCACTAACCAGCCAATCAATCTGGAGAAGAATCCAATCAAAGGCTGGGAAAATTCCCACCCACTCCCCATGATGTAACATGCCAATAATGCAAAATGTCAGGAAAAACAGACAGCTGAAGGCCACTCCTTAACCTTGAGAAAAAATTACTTGAACGTTCCTTAAGAAGTGCCTAGAAAATATACATCTTAATCAATTCCAGTGAGTTCACTGGGATCACTTAATATTCACAGGTTAAGCAAAACTCAGTGCTTCTTGGAGCTGCTGCCTACAGATGTAAGTCCTTTATTCTCTATTTACAGCAGATTTTTGTTTTAAGGAAGGAAGAAAAAAGAAAGAGTTGGTCAACATCATAAAATAGGTAACAAATGTTCTCTGCTGGGTTTACACAGGCATTTCAGGATCTCTAAACAGAGTACTTCCTCCCCAAAGTTAAGTCAGACAAGTCTATTGCTGCGAAGGAAGGACATGCTGTCAGCCAGTAGCTACAGCAAAGCACCAACTGCCCCTGCCATCTTACCTGCATGAACTATTACCATCAACTTTCTTTACTGTTAGTTTAAGAGTCCTTACAACAGCAGCCACAGGCCGAGCAAGAAAAGACAGAAAAAAATCAGACAGGAGCAAAAGAAAGACAGAGGCAGAAAAAATAATGTTTTAGAGTTAGAGGGGAAATGTTATAAACAATACATTTATTTTCAAAAACAAAAGAATGATAAATGTACAGAACTAAAATAGACAAACTTGCTTCTAGGGACAGACATTCATCAGAGGAGTGAACTGCAGAGGTTAACTGGAAGGGGTAGTCATACCTTCACCAAAAACCTAATTGTTACATGACTTAGAGCTACCATGAAAGCTTACTTTCAAGCAGCAGTTCAGCTTATTGAATTCCGTCAGGAAGAATTTGGATTTTTTACTTTCTTCCTCCCAGCTCAAAAAAGCTGTTTCCACAGTGCACTTAGATGATCTTAACAACTCAGTTTTGTAACACAAAAATGCCAACAATTAGTATCTAAAACTAATATGGCATATGGACCATGCTTCAAAAAAAAGGAAAGGTACTAAAACTAGAAACTGTTCCAAGTGCATCACAGATTTTCCTCAAAATGGCTATGATAATGATTAGCATATGGATCTTACAGGGCAGCAAAAGCAAATTCCATTTGCAGGATTTGCCCTCCCTAAGATATTCAGTATCTGCCTTCACAGTGGAATTTTGCAGCTTTTGTTCACTGGAGTTCAGGAAAAAATAAACAAACTTGATTTTAACACGATGCTGATTCAAGTTTATTTTGCCCTAGCTGTGCTAATTAAGTTCTACAGGCTTCTTTTCCCTCCACTTATTTCAAAACATACTTAAATTAAGATGTTTAAATCAAATTAAAAGATGTTAAAATCAGTTATAGCAGCCATGGAGACCAGTAGAAACAGCAACACAAGAATCTTCCTACATTCTTTTCTGAACACATGGATGGAATAGGGGTGGCAGAAAAAAAGATAGCTGCCTTAGAATGGTAGCAAGCACACAAGTAGAGGGTTTTATTGCACATGCATACTTACCCTTCTTTAAGCAATATAGGTTGCTCTATGCTCTTGTGATCTCTCCTCCCCGAAGATGAAATTAAATCTAGAAACTAAAAGATGAACAAAAGGCATAGATAAAATAGACAGTACCGCACTACCCAAATTAAAATCTTCTGTATTTGTACAGCACAGAGCAATAAGAAAATATTGTAAAAGTAGTTAAAGAAGGTAATGGCAGAAGCTTGAGGAATTTGGGAGGTTTCCTGGGTTGTAAACTAAAAAATAGTATAAATGGTATTAAACAGAAAAACTGCAAATGAGCAACACTTCTTGTGCTTCTCCTTTGTTGTATGTATCTTTCACTTCCTTTGGGACTAAGCAATGTTCATCATACATCTGCAGCATCCTATGAACCACACACATGTCTCAAGCTCTAAGCAGCAGCTTGGTAATCCAACCTAATTATTAAGTAGATCCAAAAAGATTCTACTATTGACATACGCATAATTTGATAAAAGTTTCTTGAATATTACAGTTATCAGGAGTCTGCTTTTTCCAGCACACACTTCCTGGTTTAGAAACAGTATGTATTACATTCTAGGATTCCGAGCATCTGCTTCAAACATCACAGCAGGATTTTCAGACCATTCACATGCATTACTTACGTTTTTTACTGCATCTGCATACTTCTGCTCATTAAAATAGTCATAAAAAGTAGCCATGTAGGATTCCTTGAAATTGGCCTGAAATACAAAGCCAAAACCATGCATATCATAATACAGTTTATACAGAAAATATTCTTGTTAACAGCAGTAGACCATGAGGAAGCCACCACAGATAAGAGGGGTTTTTTTCTGGCCAGGAGTAAAATAAGCAAACTGCTACTTTCATGTTGTACAGTACACATTCAGCAGTACCAAATTTTTATTTCAAAAAGGTAGAAGAATGCGTTTCAAATGTTCAGTTACTACAGTTAATAATGTTTCTGCTTTAGCTTTTAATCTTGGTCCTAAAAGAGACTGACAAAAAGTATGAGAGAAAGAATTCTATTGTCCCAAAGGATTCATAATTGAGCTACAGATTCATCTACAACTGCCTGTGTGAATACTAACTAGAGCACCAGTGACTCCAAATTATCACCAGATATAGCAGTGTGGTGCCCTAGGTACATGAGTTTTATTTCAATCAAACATCCAGAACATGGGCATTTAGCTCTAATCTCACCACTGAATGGCATAAAACTGAACAGGTATGAAAGGAAAGGCAACCTGGCAAGGCTACT